CGAGGAACGATACAGGACAGACAAGGATAGAACAGAATCGGAAGGGACAGGACATGAGGAACGGTACAGGACAGACAAGGGTAAAACAGAATCGGGAGGGACAGGACATGAGGAACAGTACAGGACAGACAAGGACGGGACAGAATCGGAAGGGACAGGACATGGGGAACAGTACAGGACAGATAAGGGTAGAACAGAATCGGGAGGGACAGGACATGAGGAACAGTACAGGACAGACAAGGACGGGACAGAATCGGGAGGGACAGGACATGAGGAACAGTACAGGACAGATAAGGGTAGAACAGAATCGGGAGGGACAGGACATGAGGAATGATACAGGACAGACAAGGGTGGAATAGAATGGTTTACACTAAATGAACCACACACTCCCTCCTTCCATTAAATGGTCGGGGTATAAAAATGACGTCCAGAAAGTGGTCTCTTTATGTAGGTGGTTCAAATCACAATAACTACAATGTGGAACATTAAAAGTGGTCTCATAATACAGATGCACAGGTTCGACTGTATCAGTATGCCCCTGATAATGAATGCATCCCTCTCTTGATAACTTTGTAAGAGATCAATAATACGACATATGCTCCAAAAATCCACATGAACCCAGTCAGTGAAATCCTCTATCACTAAATACTTCTCTCGATGATGAGCATGTGCTCCTAGAATGAGCATGCCTTCTGTGTGCTTACTTTTGTTGGTGATTTGTTTGTGTTCCTCCATATCTTTCAAATTTCTTTCCTTCAATATTTCAAAGTTCTTTTCTGGAACATCACCTGAAAAAAACAATAAAAAGATATGTTTTGTTTTTATTTCTACATGTGTACATACCAAGTAACAGAGCATTTTGATAATTAATAATCATACAACTAGTCCTGTATAAGGTAATGAATCTTAATGCTATGTTTTTCACTTTAACCAGAAACTTGAGGGGGACATTTTTATATCAAACAAATATAACATGTTTATTATGAGATGATCATTTGCGCCATTTTGCTTATTAGACTTGGAGAATACAACTAGGTAAGTGATGGAGCGTGAACCCCAAGGATTCAGTAAAGGTAGGTTTTATTTGGTTTACATGTTTCGGATGGCTAGGCCAACCGTCATCAGAACAATTTTACAGTATCGTTTACAGAGCTAAGGTGGAAATTACTGTTCGCCACGTGACGTTAAAGTAATTGTTAAGTAATCATGTGATATACAAATGAAATTGCCGGGAAACGGCATGTTAGATAACAGATCAAAGTTGATTGTTGTTAAACATGAAGCTTAAATGGAAATGCGAATAAATACATACAATCCTATGTTGGTATTACTGGTTATTAATTTAGACAGTGTTCAATAGACCAAAAAATACTGTAAATGGAAACTTGTACGTCTCATACTGATAAGATGGATTTACATCTTCACATATATGGTATCGATTAATGTGTCCATTTTGTCTCCGTATTCTAGATAGTTATGGTTGATAGGTGGTGAATCTGTGTCTTGGAGAAGAGATTTATATGTTTGTCCCATAATGCCATCCCCATTTTTAAGTCCTGACCCTTTTTTCCAAAGGAGCATTTAAACATAAGAACACATATTTATCCCCTTCATCTGGGGATCCTCTGTATAAAAGTTGGTCAAAATCCCTTCACTTGTATTTGAGGAGTAGTCTTTCGAAGATTAACTCCTTCTGATCTGCCCCTCCCTCAGCCCCCTACATGGGGTTTGGAGGAGACACCTTTTATTTATACAGTACAGTATTCCCTTGACCCCAGGGATGTTCCATTTCTCATTTAGTTAAAAATACATTTAGCCATCCTGGACTAGCAGTCTTTAAAGAGAAAAGATGGCTGGACAGAAGACAGATGCATGGACACCTGAGTGTGCCATGGCATATAATAAAGTTTGTCTGGCCCTTTAGACAAAGTCAGAAAAACATGATCAATACATGGATAACAGTCTCGAAGTCTCACCTGTGGATCTGTGTGTACTAACTAAAGAGTTGTCTTCATCACTACTGCTGTCCTCACAAGAATCTGACGTCTTCTTCCCTTCAGTTTGATCAGCTGCTTTCTTCCCTTCCACATTCTGACAACCAGTTTCCTTCCCTTCATTGGTTTGTTCAGCAGACTATATTAATTGGAAGCAAATGGACAGGTATGGTACATTTCTAATTGTATGCTTCTTCAGAAAGTAACTTAAAGTGACTTATTATTACTCTGTATTGTTTCATTTTTTAAGAGCACAAATAACAGTTTTACTTTTTTATCCTTTTATTTTAGTAATTCTTTCTGTATCACCTTTGATTTCAGTTACATTCATTTTTCATGCAGATATTTCTGCAGAGGTATTTGATTTTTATTATTCCTTTTTTTTTTAGAATGTTTCAGTATGTCTAAAATCAATGAGGCATCATTAGAGTAGTATACATGTATTTCTGTTTTTAGTAAATTCTGTATTACCAATCTCATAGCAAAATTCTCTGCACATAGATGTAGTGCAATAGGTCCGCTTGTTGACATTCTCAATTTTCTCTTCTTATCTTTTGATAAATTGCCTTGAGTAACTAGAACACTGACAGGTCAGTAAGGGCCCCGTCTTGTGGTAATATATCCCTCATATTCATCAAGAAGCAATCTGCCCATTTAGCTGAGCTTGACGTTTGATATTTGGACAAAGAATCGCAAGGAAGCAAAATATACATTTGCTGGGATAACATAAATGTAAATACCGGTGCAATACTCATTTGTTAGCTTTGATTTGTTTTATTTCACCTTAAATACCTCCTCCATCAAAAGCCAGGGTCAAAGTCAGAGATCCACTTTGACCTTGACCTTTGACCCAGTAACACTGACCTCTGACCCAATGACCTTGACCTTTGCCAGTTGACTCCTTGTTTAATTCTGATCAACTTTGCTTCATCATGTCTTTACAAAATGTTCATCAGTGAAAAGATGCAAAATTTGACCTTGACCTTTGAAAACCTAATGATCTTGACCTTAATGACCTCAACTTTTTACCTCAGTGTGTCTCTTTGTTTAGTTCCAACCAACTTTGCTTCATAATGTCATAAGATGCTCATTAGTGAAAAGCTACAAAATTTGACCTTGACTTTTGACCGAATGACTTTGATCCTTGGTCAGTTGACTCCTTGTTTAATTCTGATTAACTTTGCTTCATGTCATAACAAAATGTTCATCAGTGAAAAGATGCAAAATTTGACCTAAACCTTTGAACCCAATGACCTTGACTTTTTACCTCAGTGTGTATTTTTGTGACCTGAACATCTTGACCAAGTTTCATGTAAATCGGTCAATAAATACAATATATATATAAGTTATCAGCCAGGAACAAAAATTGTGGACAGACAGACAGACGTACGAACAGACAGAGAGATTACTGTAGGGCACCTGTATCTCCGATACAGGGCCCTAATAATTAAATCTGTGTTTTCTCTATTTCAATATATACTACTCATCTCATATTATTACTCTATAGACCTTGTATTTTTTATACAAAAATTCTTCAACAGAGATTGGTACACTAATATCTGAAATATCCAGGCAACATTTGACCTAGGACTTTTGGTTATGTCATTCTTTAAAGATTTAACAAATTTGACCCCTGCAGTGAACTTGATAATGGAACAAGGCCATTTGTATGAACAAACCAGATACTAATAGGCCTCTACCACAGCATGCTTAAGGCCAAATATCATAACTCTAAATCTCATTTATTCAGAAGAAGTCATTAAAAAGTAGATAGTGGACAATGGACAGACATGCAGATGACATTTTACCAATGATAAATGTGTCACAAAGTTACACATAAAAACCATGACACAAAAACAAAATATTTTTGACTGAAATTGCTTATCAATTCACAGGCATTTGTAATATGAACTGGAAGTCTGATCAAAACAGATTAAATCACTCAAATATCCTGGAAGAAAAATCATGAATGTGATATAGCAAACTTTTAGACTTTCTTTTTCATTTCTTCAAATGAATAAAATGTTATTGATTATTAGGCCCACTGCCCCAGTGTGTAATCTGTAGAATTTTTATTCATTCAAAAAAATCAAATTTTATTATATACAATAACAACTTGCAGTTCAACCAGAGGAAATGTGAAGTAAACATCTTACGATGGAAGAAAACTTTTAAATGACCCTCTATGGAGTGGGAACATCACAGTACTCACCTAGAGGAAGGTGTAGGTACCAGGTTATGATGAGATAACCTGGTACCTTCCATATATAACCTTCCACCCACACACATCAAACCACCTGACAGAGTAAGAAGATGTATACTCACCTTGGGGAAATTGTAAGTACTTGGTTGTAGAGACGGCGACAAATCGTTGAGTGACCCTGAGCTAGTTGTCGGGGTAGTACTGGGAGATTCTGCTCCAGTATCTGACTGTACGTCCTTCTGTGTCGTTTGTTGTGTTGTAGGGGCAACATCAGGTTCTGGCTGGTGTGACCTATTACAAAAATAAAACAGGATGAAGGCATATTTCTAACATGTTACACAATTAATCTAAAATTGCCTAGTAATTAAACAAAGAATCTAATGTCTTCTATTGTCTCTAACTTTGGTTATATTAAATGTGTTTCCTGTGGTGCTGATCAGCATGTTACACACTCTCCTTTCATTCTGGCTCATATTGTTTAGTGTAATCCCATTATTCTTCGTCCCATCACTTTTTTTCCTTGTTACATGTTTTCATGTTTTATGTGCAGTCAAAAAAGTATGAAATACATAAAAAAAAAAAAATCTTCGGCAGAATTTCCATTTACACAATTACAACCCTAACATACAACAAGACATTAATAAAAAGTCTGCAAAACTAATATAAATATCTGGATACTATAATACTGTTATATCATACCGATGGGTTACATCACAGGGTCTCACAATTATCTATAATATTGTTATATCATATCACATGGTCTCAAAATTATCTATAATATTGTTATATCATAATGATTGGTTACATCACAGGGTCTCACAATTATCTATAATACTGTTATATCATAACGATGGGTTACATCACAGGGTCTCACAATTATCGATAATATTGTTATATCATAATGATGGGTTACATCACAGGGTCTCACAATTAACTATAATACTGTTATATCATAATGATGGGTTACATCACAGGGTCTCACAATTATCGATAATATTGTTATATCATAATGATGGGTTACATCACAGGGACTCACAATTATCTATAATACTGTTATATCATAACGATGGGTTACATCACAGGGTCTCACAATTAACTATAATACTGTTATATCATAATGATGGGTTACATCACAGGGTCTCACAATTATCTATAATACTGTTATATCATAATGATTGGGTAGATCACAGGGTCTCACAATTATCTATAATACTGTTGTATCATAATGATGGGTTACATCACAGGGTCTCACAATTATCTATAATACTGTTATACACAATTATCAAAGTCCCGCGACAACTGCTAGTGCATTCCTGTGACTGTCTGTTAAGAAAACATGAAACGGTGTTGGCCGTCAACTCAGATAGCAGTTTGTGATTAATAAGAAATGGTAATGAAATCGTACAGAATACCCAGAATGATTTTGCATCCATTTTTGAGATATCATCACCAAAAATGTTTTTATGTAGAAGTTCCTTTAATGAATGAAGCTTGAAAAAAATATTTTGGAGATCTAAGGTCAAAGTCACTAGTAAAACTTAAAAAAAAATTGAACAGAGTTTACATTTAACATCTTCCTGTATTTTCCACGAATCAGACTTAAAATCAATACAAGGGCCTTATAGTGGTCACCTGAGTTATATCACGGGAATCTAATTCCGTGGTTATATTATATATATAAATAGGTACTTGTAGCTCAATTTCATTGTTGAGATGTGATGTGGAAAACAACATGTAAACAAAGTGAAATACAATACTTGTCATGTCACCAAAGGATAAGAACTTTAAAATCTATTCAAATAAATTATTTTGCTATTGAGAAATATAATATCAATTGCTATTAAGCCAATTTTCCTCTTTGGCCAACCCCGGGGATAGGTCAGGATCTTAGTTTCTGATACTATTTGATTTCAATTTCATTATAACTATTCCAACCAAGTTTGAATTATTTCTTGCTGAAAATGGACAAGATATAGTCAGAAGTGTTATTTTCCTATATAAACCAAGAAGAACAGATTACCAAAGGGTAATATAACTAACAATTTATATAATGCACCTAAGGGCATTTCCATCCATAAAGGAAACTTGAATCTTGTACCATCCGAGTGCAGAGTTTTTATAAAATACATGTACCAGCCATTTTTACCCTTTTTGGCCTCACCCGGGCTCCAGCCCCTGGGGCAAGGTGGGATCTTATTTTTTCATACCAATAATGCACCTAAGGACCTTTCTATCCATTTAGAGTGTTTGTTTGTAATACATGAGTCTGATGAAAAGGATTTTTGAGTTTTTAGCCATTTTCCCCATTTGGGACCCACGTACCCCTCCAGCCCCTTGGGATCGGGCAGGATCGGATTTTCTCATACTATCTAATTGCTATCTGGCATCATAATCATTCCATCCAACTTTAAATAATTTCCTGCTGAAAAATGACAAAATATACCCAAAATTGTTATTTCCCTATATATAAACTATAATAAACTTTACCCCCTCCCCAAGGGAAAACGGATGGCCCATGGGTACTGAAATTTACAATTAACTTAAAGCCCCTGATGGTCTTTCCATCCATGCGAAAAATGAATGGAGTACAATTCGGCTTTAAGCACATGCATGTTTATGAAATATTAAATCAATAGGAAAACCTGTTTGTTTTTAATATATAATCTTGGACAGCTAGGAAGATAACCTTATTTTCTTGTAATGGCAATGTCTCGTTCCCAAACAGTAGAATATCTGTGGTAATATTACAAGGCAAAGAATATAAGTACTGTCTTCTTATGTCATCATATCTGGTACATTCTAAAAGAAAGTGAGCAGTGCTTTCAACTTGACCGCATACACATAGCGGAGATTGAACAATATTTTTACTAAATAAATGACTGTTTAAGGAACTGCATTCCATTCGCAGACGAGCATGGTATATTTGACCCTTACGGGTTCCAAAAGTGTAGTGGATTGGTACTTTTCTACTTAACTGTTTATCAAGGTATAATTTTATAGCAGGAACAGACGGTTTTGATCTAACATCAGATGGTAGTTTATTCCATTGATCTATAGTAGATGGTAAAAACGATTGTTTATAAAAAGCAGTTTTGCACAATATTGGAGTGACACATGTATGATCTGAGTTCCTTGTATCATATCTATGTCCCTCCGAAACTGTGAGGAACAAGATTATACAAATATTGAGGCGTATATTGGTAAAACATTTTATGAAATTGAAGAATTTTTCGATTTTGTCTACGATCAAATAATCTCGTCCATCTTGCTTCATTGAACAATTTGTCAATACTTGTTAGTTTTGTCGCGCCAGTTACTATCCGAGCAGCTTCAACATTGAGGTTTTCAAGTTTTTTTTCCAGTTCTTTTGGAATATTTTCCCATACTATATCACCATATTCGAGAAGTGGTCTTATAAAAGAGAAATACATAGTTTGCAAAGTTTGTCTATCTAATTGGAATTTCAAAGATCTCATTATATTGATTTTAAAGGAGGCTTTTACAATGATATAATTAACTTGATCTAGCCAACGACCATCTCCAGAGTAGTACACACCAAGGTGCTTGTGAGAGGATACATTATTTATTGGAAAGTTGTTCATATGTAGAGGGGGGTGGTAAATGGGATTTCGTTTCCTGCTTATTATCATAGATTCAGTTTTTTGGGGATTGAAGTCTACAAGCCACTGTCGGGACCACACATGAATTCTATTAATATCTGATTCTAATGTAGCATGTGCCGTAACGGGATTGTCTACTTCTATGTAAAGGGACGTATCATCGGCAAATAGCTTAATTGTGGAATTGATTTCATAAACAATGTCATTAATATATACAAGAAATAAAAGAGGACCGAGGATCGAGCCCTGAGGTACCCGAGCTATGATAGTAAACTTTACCCCCTCCCCAAGGGAGAACTGATGGCCCGGGTATTTACAATTTACATAAAGCCCCAGATGATCTTTCTATTCATGCAGGGAAATTGACTGTAGTAACTCTGAGTCTAGAGAAAAAGATTTTTTAAATATTAGTTAATTTTCCCTTCGGGGCCCCGCCCTGGCCCCTGGGGTTGAAGTAGGAATCCCAATTTTACAATTTTGTAGCCTTATCTACCAAGGATGATTCTGAATAAGTTTGAAAAAATTCCATCTTCTGGTTCTTGAGAAGAAGTTGAAAATGTAAAAAGTTTTTGCACGACGGACGGACGGTGCAGGACGACGGACGGAAAGCATTCAGAATAGGTAACTTGAGCAAAACTCAGGTGACCTAAAAAAATGCCAATAACATATAGCACTTACTTTGGATCATGCGTTGAAATCATTGTTGGTTCTGACATTACAGCTTTAGAATGTTTCCCTATCATTACAGTGTTAGCTCCAAAGACGTTGATGGTTTGAGGAGGATCTTGTGCAGGCTGCGGTGGTGGTGGTGGCGATGGTGGTTTTGGCTCAGACTTCTCATAAAGGTGATGGTGGACAATAGTCAAAACAGGCCCTTCCTTATAATTAGTACCTTAAGAAAGATTTAGTTGAATTAGCTTATAAGAATTTGCGAGTTTAGGTTTGAAATAGATTTTCCAATTATTTTGGATTTCTGACTGACCTGAAAAAACCCGGAAGTAAAAACACTTTTTCAGAAAATTCAAGCTAATACCCGGTTCAGGTTCTGGGATTGAACCCAAGTCAACTGTGCATAAGGTCAGAAAGTCAACCTTTTTACCAAATCTGCCCATATTTTAGACGACAGCTATACTGTACTTGTTGTATTCCTTATACTGCATCTGTAGTGTTCCAGTATAGGTAGTTCAATACAAGTTCTATATCTCTTTTGATTTTATAATATATGACCTTAACAATATCCTACCTCCGTATCAACGGGACCAGAAGCCTGAGTGCTGATATGGGTTGAAGGGTAACATGCCGTACGCAAAACATCTAATATACCTGTAATATAATAGGTAAACTTACCTGTAAGGTATGGAAATAGAGTAGGTGAGAATTCCGGAGGTTGTTTACCCTTCATGTGAGTAGAAGGATCAGGGACGTCACTTCCAGCTGGACATCTTCTGTCAGAGTCTTTTTGAGGGACATTGCCCGCCATTAAACCTTTAGAAGACCGCTGCCCTCCACTGTAGGTAAGTGTATTTTCCAGGACCTTACCTTGATCTTCTATGCTACTCTTCCACTTTTTACTATAAAAATGTGGCTCTTTATCTTCTTTTTGTGCATCAGTACTAAGCATGCTCTCTTGTTTTGAAGATTTAAGATTTGCGTCGCCCAAGTCTTTCCCAAGTGCTGCATCCCCAGAGTCATTCACTAGCCCTGTGTTGTCAAGACTTGTCTCTCCTGGGTCTTTTACTGGCTTAGATTCACCCTTTTGTTGTAGCTGCTCCTCCCCAGACAAAGAGTCATATCCAGACTCTGTTAATGCACAGACTGTTTTGATTTCTGTGTTATCGGCCCTTCCAGATTCCAACTGATCTTCCTCTAAATCAGTTTCAGGAGTGTCGTCCCCATTGGACATAACAGGTGTAGCAGCTGGATCACCATGTACTGATACTTTGGTTTCCTCAGACGTCTCCAGTGTGGAATTCTCCGTTGATGTAGAAACCTGAGACGGATGAATGTGTTCTGATCCTAAACCTTCATCTTGGCTGTTTCCAGACTCACTAGCTCCTTCATCACCCTCCAAACGAGGTTCTGCTGAACTCTCTTGTCCATTGCTGTCCACAGTGTTTGAGGACTCTGAAATTTAAATCAAAAGCCGGTCATTTGACGTCAAATGAATTGGGGGAAGATTTTTTCTTTTAATTTCAAGCATGGTGTTCAACCCCTATCATAATGACATATGTCTTTTTGGACAAGATGTTCTTCTCGGTTGTTGTCTAAAGAAAAGACATGCAAATTACTGTGTTTTAAGTTACTTCAAGATGTTCTATTCTGCCTGAAAAGCATATTGGAGGTGTTACAGATTTAAATACCTGGAAGTAAGTCAGTGTTTGCTGTTCTGCTGTCGTTGTTATCTGTCTTTTTTTCTTTTTCTTCCAAAATTGGCTACAAGATTTTATAAATATATTCAATGAAAACAATTGAAACTAGAACTGTTACTCGCAGGCTAACTTGATAGCAATCTCTATCCAGAACTGTCGTTCACAAAACAGCTAAAAAGAATCCAGCATGTGCTTAAATTACAATATGGTTTTGTTCATGTCAAGCATAGGTAGATATCAAGCCGTTTAACACAACAGAACATACAAATATAATCCTATCGATATCGTGTTGAAAGTTGTCTGACGGTGACATATTTGGGAGAAATGACGTTTTTAATCAATCGATTATGTAAAACATTGCCAAATGACGTAAAAGCTAAAACGGATTTTCAAGACTTTGCCAAGATTCTTTGCATTTAGCCGTTGACAGCAGTGTAAGTGATTGAAAGGAACGACAACTCTGAACAGAGATTGCTTCAGTAGCAGTACTTTGGTAAACATTTTAAAATGGAAGCTAGATTAGGAGCATTACTCTCAATATAGTAGTCAAAATGATAAATACATAGGTGACCAACAACTACCTAATCAAGGTGGATCATGTATACAAAGATAAATCATATCAGCAGCACAGAAGTAATTCAGACAAAATGTATTAATGTAATTAAGAAAAGGGATGTATAGCTCCTGTTGATGTAGTTAAAAGAAACAAAGAGGCCCAGAGGGTCTGTATTGCTGTATTAAATGTCATAGTGACCTGCATTTGGTTCTTCACTAGATGTGCTTGCATATATACTTATTTTGAAAAGCCAGTATGAAACAATATAATATATATATGAAATTCGGAAATCAGTTTTTCCATAATTTGGGTTGTACATGTAGGTCAAAATATAGGTCACAGTGTCCTACTTTTATTCAGGAAACTACCTTCCCCAAACTTAACCCTGTTATAAGTTGATTTCAGTTTGATGATGATATAAAATGATGTTGTAGAAGAAAATAATGCTGGAAAAATCTTTACCTTGAAAGAGGGAGGAGGTAAAATTACAGGTTGCAGTGACCTACTAACTTTTAGTTTGCAATACTCGCGAAATACAACCATATGTTAATCAAGCTGAAATTTTAGCTCAACTTTAATGTGTATTAACAGGGTTTATCATATGTTTACTCAGAATATGAGTGTTTTTGCATATTTGATAACTTCTGACCACTCCTGATACCACTTCCGGTCAACCGTGTGATAAGTTTCTCGTAATGCACCCCCCCATGTGATAACAATTCTCGTAATGCACCCCCTGTTCGGAACACCTCTACTTCTGTATTGGATATGGGAAGCGCCCAAAGCGTTCCGAGTAAAATCCGGATTTGCGCTGTCAGGTTTTTTTTTGCTTAGACAGTGTGTTGAGCAGACGTCAACAAACAAAATGCCAACAAACCAGGGAGAGGAAATACTTAATTCTCTAGCGTCTAGAATATTTGAAGAGTGCAAGGTTGTGACAAGGACACGGAGAACTTCGTCAAAAGTATGAAAAACACAAACACTCACAGAAAAACGGAGTCGGACGTCGGAGTTGAACATATGATAAAAAGTTTATAATATGACCATTTTGATATCTTATCCCTTATCAGCCCTCGGGGATATGATATCAAAATGGTCATATAATAACCTCTAAATAATGTTAAAGGGCTTAATTGGGGATGGGGGGATAAGATAAAGAGAAGCTGGTAGCATAAATATTTTAATGAGCATGACTGTATTACATTTAGTGTGTCTGTATCAAAACCATGAACTCACCACATTGTTGCTGTGCCCCGACTGGTTACTGGAAAATAGCAATTCCCTAGATGTCTCATTCCTGTCGTCATCATCAAAATAGTTATTATTCTGCCATTGATTTCTTAGGAGATTACCCATGTTTTGACGGGAACTTGAATATGAAATCAACTGTGTTGCATGTACAGAAGCAGCTTGTGGATGTTCCCGAGAAGAAGCATTTTGATGCTCATACGAAGACATTGCCCTGTTTTCGGAGTTAGTGATGTACTGCTGCAGCTTTCTCCTGTCTTCCATAGCTACCTTGATCACTCCTTGTGCTTTCCGTTCTTTAAATCTAGAGTTCTTCTCCAGATCATAAAATGGAATTGGAGTAATCGCTTTCAGTCCTATGAAATTGATGTTCTTATCTACTGTTTGAACAGGAATAAGAGCATTTACCTTTTGGCGTTGAACACATTCAGAAAGATATTTCGCACGTTCTTTAGATAGTTTATCACTTATCTTGGAAATGTGCTGTTCGGCTTCATCTTCTGTTATGAACCTTGTCATCATAATTAGTTCTTCTAGTACGCCTGTAAGAACTTTATCCTTCATGAATTTATCAGTGATAAAAGCCAATATCTTCATGCATTTTGCGGTCACATTCTTTGTTTGACCGAAAACACCAGCTTCTGGGAAAATATCAGAATCATCGTACAGATGTATCCTTGCATCCAAAAGGTTACATGTAGGTTTCATGGCTATTCGTTTCAACCATGGAAGAAACTTATCTTCCACCTTATCATAATCCTCCTTGGCATAAATAACAGCCACATCAACAAGGTATGGTAGTTGGTGAAATCCTGGTGGTTCATTCCATTGTTCACTGTTTGGTACAGAATCTTTCTCTACATCTGACCCAGATTGATTATCATGCTTGGCTCTTCCTTGTTCATTCTTGTTCTTCTGGTGCCCACTATTTGACTGCGAATTGGTCTTGGGCCTAGCACCTTTATCATCTGGTTGGCTGCTTGCCATTATTTACTACAGTGCAAAACAAAACTGAAAGGCAAAATGTAACACACATTTGAAAAATACAAAACCCTGAAAATCAAAATTTGTAAATCATTTTATATTTAAATCCAAAATTTACACACAAAGATATGGCCAAGTGTTAATGCATCCAGATTGTTTGTGTATTACAGAATTCAAATATTTGTATAAAAAAACTTGTTCATTGCAGAAGTTTCTTAAGATATGTGTGATGGATTAATGAATACAGGTCTATTAAAATAACACCATTTATTCTATAGTTAATATTAAACTAGCTGCGATAACGTAGCTTTCTGACAACGAGAGATTTTTTTATAAATGGCCGGGGCAGAGGAGTATTAATATTACTCATATATATTTTTTGGGGTATTTTCCAGGTAACATTTGAACAGAATTCCTGAATTCTAAACTTCCACAAGCTTAAATGGAATTAAACAATATACATCTGTTCCGATGAGAAGGCAATGATTATGCTAACGGTAGTATTTTCTCTGGAGCCTCATTCATTCCATCTACGACGACTCATCAACAGTAAAAGTGTGGAAATCTCCAAGGCTGCACTAGATATTCTCGGTGTCTTTCGTACACTTCAGCCCAACAGTGAGCCACCATCATGTAATTACTTACAGATACAGAAGGGAACCTACTTTCGTTTTAAAATGTATGCTAAATCATTGGAGGACGAACGATGGATCTCCTCTGACAGACACTCATTATCCTCGATGTGTTTTATATCTAGCGAGTTCTTCTGGCCTCCTGGCAATTATTTGAGCTGTGGCGTCGAACACGAATATCATCGGGAAAGTCTAAGGTATTATAAAAATAGAACTGTTGGAAATTCCAAAAGCGGAACATACTGGTCCTCGGGAAATCTTGTACGCCGTTCCCGGACCCGGGCTTAAAACCCGATACAGGAATAAGAAGATATTTTAATATCTCAACAACGCCATTGTTTTATAAATATTTTAAAATCTAATAATACCAAATATTATATTCTAAATGTGACTTTTAGAATGAAATAATAAAAGTATCAGATAATATAAAAATCGACGATAATGGGACATTTCAAGAATGGCATATATAACTCGTTATTTATTCATTTATATCATTCGGACTAATATCTCTGGGCAGGTAAGTCAATCTGGTTAATATCTCTAGGTAGGTAACATTACAGCAGTGACGGCAGCACAATTTGCCCCAAAAGACCCCAAAAAAGACGTTAACTGGATAGTTATGGTGACGCGGGTATTATTTATTAGACGTATTTGAGTTACTTCCCTTGCAAACAAGTTTACCGTTTGTCTTTTCACCATCCCCGATGACAGAAGTTTTATCGATATTTTTTAAATACCTAAAATGGTATTTTTCTCACTCTTTCCACATTATTTTATACAGAGAAGAAGTAGGAGAATGTAAAGATAAAGGAGAGAGGAAGGGGAAAAGAAATTTTCGAGACTGATGTCGTTTTCAGAAGAAAATAAACTAATAGTGTATACGTATACCACAACAAAAATCGCTGCAATTTATATAGAGGTACCAACGCTAAATCATTAGCTACTTAAGCAATACAATCAATACAATGCAAGCCGTAAACGTAAGTTTGCATGTGAAAACTTAAACAAATCGCTTCAATTTAATGATGAAACTTTGTACACATTCAAATATATTTTTTATTTTGTACAGAAGATAGATTGTTGTCACCATGACCTCGTCAAAATGCAAGATTTTTAAAGCTTCAAGACAGCACTACAAACTGGAACAATATAAACTAAAAGCGCACTCCTCCAACCCTGGAATGTATACTCAAATTTGAGGTCTTCCAGTAATATACAGATACAGCTACAGATACACCAGAGACGTATATATTGTCTCTGTTGTCACCAAGCAGTAACACTTCAAGGGAAAGCTGATCTTGGATAGATGCAAAACTTGCTTGTCTATGAGGGACGCGTTTAGGTTGAACTGTGTGAAAAACTCATATAGCATGGATGGCAAACTTTTCGTAGTGCTGCAGAACGGCAAAAAGAGAAAACTTTGTTTTGACACCCCACCAAAGGAGAACTATTTGCTGGAGGACGCCAACTTTTCACGATATTGATCTTGAATCGTGAAGATCGGTGCGGGACTTTGGGCACGGTCTGTTGCCTATACCGATCTGTGTGTAAATAGTAAATAGTGTTGTGTGTCATTTAGTGATTTTCTTCATAGTGAGGATGTGTGCATGGATTGTATAAAAACGTACATTGTAGCTACAGGTAAGCCAATATAAAGTATACATTTCACTCTGTAAGAATGTCTGCTGTCCTTTATACTTATGCAACTCACCTAAGTTTATCATTTTTGAATTTTGATTTTTGATCATAGTACTACAATATACAATGTAATTGTGTAATTACTACATGAGTTCAATTCGAGTAAATATTGTACTTATAAGTGTTTATCAGATGCAATTAATATACACGATCAGTTTTTCATATACAGCGATTGATATATATTTATTTAGCATAACTACAAATGCTGATCAAATCAGCGCATTTTGTTAGAACAGATATAAAGCATCGAATGATGGAGTAGAGTGTGTATTATTATGACTATTTATTATAAGACAAATAATTATATATCTTTGTATCATCCCATTTTCTTTTTTATTTCTCGCTCAGAATGTTTCTGATTTCTCATTTTGAGATGTTCCCTTATTTACGTCAGATTATGCATTTTTAGCTCACTTGGCCCTTCGGGCCAGGTGAGCTTATGCCGTGGTGCGTCGTCCGACGTCCGGCGTCAATATTTTACTTTAAACGACTTCTTCTTAATAACCGAAAGGCCTAGGGTTATGATATTTGGCCAAAAGCAAACTATGATGAAGGGCCTCCAAGTTTGTTCAAATAAATGACCTTCATCCATTTTCAAGGTCACTGGGGTCAATTGTCTTAAATAATCTTTAAACAACTTCTTCTGAATATCTTAGAGGCATAGGATAATAATATTTGGCCAGTAACATGCTAGGATAATGGGCTACTAAGTTTTCTTTAAATGAATGACCTTTACCTATATTCAAGGTCACAGGGGTCAAATATGTTTAAAACCTTTAAACAACTTCTTCTCAATAACAAAGTGGCATAGATTAATGATATTTAGCCAGTAACATGCTGGGATAAAGGGCTACCAAGTTTGTTAAAACAAATTACCTTTACTTATATTTAAGGTCACAGGGGTCAAATATGTTTAAAACATTTAAACAACTTTTTCTAAATAACCAAGAATAATGATATTTGGCCAGTAACATGCTTGGATAAAGGGCTACCAAGTTTGTTCAAATAAATAACCTTCATCCATTTTCAAGGTCACAGGGGTCAAATATGTTAAACATCTTTTAAAAACTTCTTCTCAATAAACAAAAGGCCTTGGATGATGACATTTGGCTAGTAAAATGATGGGATGAAGGGCTACCAAGTTTGATCAAACAAATGACCTTCATCTATGTTCAAGGTCACAGGGGTCAAATATATTTAAAACCCTTACACAACTTCTCCTGAATACCCAAGAGGCATAGAACAATGATATTTGACCAGTATCATGTTCAGATGAAGGGCTACCAAGTTTGTTCAAACAAACGACCTTCACTCATTTTAAAGGTCACAGGGGTCAAATATGTTTTAAATCTTTAAACAACCTCTCCTGAATATCCAAGAGGCATAGGCTAATGATATTTGGCCAGTAACATGCTGGAATGAAGAGCTACCAAGTTTGTTCAAATGAATTACCTTTATATATTTTCAAGGTCACAGTGGTCAAATATGTTTAAAACCTTTAAACAACTTCTTCTCAATAACCAAAAGGCCTTGGATGATGATATTTGGCCAGTAACATGCTTTGATTAACGGCTACCTTTATTCGAATGAATGACCTTCGCTCATATTCAAGGTCACAGGGATCAAATATGTTTAAATCTTTAAATGACTTTTTCTGAATGTTTAAAAGGTCCAGGGTAATGATATTTAGCCAGAAGTATGCTGGGACGGAAGGCTATAAACTGTCAAGGTCACAGGCGTCATATGCTTAAATCATTTAACAGATTCAAAGGAATCGAACACAGATATTTTGCCTGTAGCTGTATATTAGTCCACTTTTAAGATTACAAGTTTGAGATTAATACCAGGTGAGCGATTCAGGCCCATTGGGCCTCTTGTTTGTTTTGAGATGGCCCCTTTTTACGTCCGGCTTTATAATATTAATAATGAGACCTATATTTATATTATAATATTTATTTTTTATCGGGTATAAGATATATATTTGATAAAAGAATTGCAACGAATTAAGAGTATTGTATTGATATGGATCGGGCAGGAACGGGCGACGATTTACAGGAACGGACAGAAACGGGCGACGATTTACAGGAAAGGGCAGAAACGGGGCAGGATCGGACTTATTTATATATATATAATTTAATCTTGCTGGTAACAAGCATTTTGATTGGCTTAGAAAATTATGTTATCAGCCAATAACATAAATCAAAGTACTGAAAGTACTGAAAGCTAAGGCAAAAGACATATATAAATACTATTTTTGGAATGGAGAACAAAATAAAGACGAAGTTCCCATCATATTGTACAGAAGGATTTACTGTTAATTTGTTATGAATCATAGTTTTATGTAAAAGTGTACCACTGTGAAGTTATTCTTCTTATGTGTACAGTATATCTTTATAGGTTTGTCAGAAGAGGGGTACCAAGTTTCCTCTAGAATATATCATTTTAGACCTTTTAGATAATGCATTTGCATAGGAATTAGGAATTGCTTCCCTTTGTCAATGTTTCAAACATACTGAAACTGGCATTTACCCCTTTGGCCAATACCTGATTAATTTAAACCATTAAATAGATTATGCACAGATTGTATTCATCTTTGAACTTTGCCTTTCTTGGTGAATAAGATATCAATCAAGTTTCTTCAGAATCTTGCCAAATCTGACAAAGTTACTTGGCAAAAATCATTGACCAAACAGAGTACAGTATGCTAACTAATTATGCATGGATTTCACTCAACTTTGAACTTATCGTCTAAGTTTGTGTATTGATCAATAAATATTCAAGCTAGTTATCTTGTAAAGTGTGGACATTGACCAGGGTATGCATGCTTTTTAATACGTGTGAATAATTTTGTTCAAATTTCAATTTTGCATCAGTCTGTGTATATTGTTACAGAACAATATTTAAGGATGTTAACTTGCTGAAACTAAATTGTGGACAGACAAGTGGATGACTGCTACCCATACCTTTACAAGTGTCTCAATAATTTTGAAAAGCTTTTAAATACAGTGGTTTATATATTCACTGCAGTGAAAAGGTTTCTTCTTATGAAAAATGGAATTATTTTGCATCTGTGTTCCTAGGAACCAATAAGATACAAAGCACTCTAATACAATATGATACATTGTTGCATGTTTCAATATTGAATAAGATAAACAAAATATAAAAATACATACCTACACACACACAAGATTAGGAGAGATACATTATTTTCCCTCTATTTCCATTGCATAAATTCTTCACAAGAAAAACAACAACTTTATAGCATATGTTCAGCTTTATCATCTTCATAGGCTAGCATTTGAAATAAGATGCACATATTAATTTCAAATATATTTTATAAGAGTACTGTGAATGTACCAGCTAGAGCACATACTATATTATTACAGTTGTCATTATTGTTTGTTTCAGAACTGATAGCATTGTGCAACAAATGTTGACAACAAGACTTATTGAAAGTTGAGGTTGCATGTGTATATGCAAACAGGTAGTGCATGATTTAATGTTCAGAATGATGGAGCATGTTTTATAAAATTTGGTTTG